GCTTTTTGATTCATTGATTCTTTGGATTGTTTTCTCTGTTTCTATTTTGTTGATTTCAGCCCTCGGTTTGATTATTTCCAGTCTTCTAGACCTCCTGGGTGAATCAGCTTCTTTTTTTTCTAGATCTTTCAAGTGTGCTGTTAAGTCTCCAATGTGTGCTTTCTCCGCTTTCTTTAATTGGGCACTTAGTGCTATGAACTTTCCTCTTAGCACTGCTTCATAGTGTCCCATAGGTTTGAGTATGTTGTGTCTTTGTTTTCATTAAATTCAAGGAAGAGTTTAATTTCTTTCTTTATTTCTTCCTTGACCCAGGGGTGATTTAGTAGTTGACTGTTCAGTTTCCATGAGTTTGTTGGCTTCCTGTGGGGGCATTGTTGTTGAATTCTAATTTTAGTCCATGGTGATCTGACAAGACACAGGTAGTTACTAATATTTTTTTTGTATCTGTGGAAGTTTGCTTTGTTACCGAGTATGTGGTCAATTTTTGAGAAGGTTCCATTAGCTGCAGAGAAAAAGGTATATTCTTTCCTATTTGGGTGGAGTGTTCTATAGATGTCTGTTAAGTCCATTTGATTCAATACCTCCAATATATCTCTCAATTCTCTGTTTGGTTTCTGTCTGATTGACCTGTCCATTGGTGAGAGAGGAGTGTTGAAGTCTCCTACTATTAGTGTGTGTGGTTTGATGACCGCCTTGAGTTCTAGAAGAGTTTCTTTTACATATGTGGGTGCCTTTATATTAGGAGCATAGATATTCAGGATTGAGACTTCCTCCTGATGAATTGTTCCAGTTATGAGTATGAAATGTCTCATCTCCATTTCTTCTGATTGATTTTAGTTTGAAGTCGATTTTGTTAGATATTAGAATGGCCATGCCCGCTTGTTTCTTAGGTCCATTTGCTTGGAAAACCTTTTCCCAACCCTTTACTCTGAGTAGGTGTCTGTCTTTGTGGTTGAGGTGTGTTTCTTGTAAACAGCAGAATGTTGGATCCTGTTTTCGTATCCAATCTCTAAGTCTGTGCCTCTTTATAGGTGAATTGAGTCCATTGATATTAAGTGATATTAATGACCAGTGGTTGTTGACTCCGGTCATTTTTTTTTTTTTTAGGTAGTAGAGTGTATGTGTTTTTCTTCTTTGATTTGTGCTTGTGAATGGTCACTAGATGTTCGAGTTATTGTAGGCCGTGTTGGGAATGTTGGATTCCTTCTGTAGTGATTTTCCTTCTAATATTCTCTGTAAGGCTGGATTAGTAGCTACGTATTGTTTAAATTTGTTTTTATCCTGGAATATTTTGTTTTCTCCGTTGATAGTGAACAATAGCTTGGCTGGGTATAGTAGTCTGGGTTTGCATCCATGGTCTCTTAGTTTCTGCAGTACCTCTATCCAGGATCTTCTGGCTTTCATGGTTTTCATAGAGAAATCCGGTGTAAGCCTGATAGGTTTACCTTTATAAGTTACTTGACCTTTTTCCTTTGCAGCTCTTAAAATTTTTTCTTTAATGTTTATGTTTTGTGTTTTGATTATTATATGGCGAGGGGATGTTTTTTTCTGATCCAGTCTATTCGGTGTTCTGTATGCTTCTTGAACCTTCATAGGAATATCGTTCTTTAGGATGGGAAAGTTTTCTTCTATAATTTTGTTGAATATATTTTCTGGGCCTTTGATCTGCAGTTCTTCTCCTTCTTCAATCCCTATTATTCTTAGATTTGGTTTTTTTATTGTGTCCCAGATTTCCTGAATGTTTTGTGAAGAGAATTTGTTGGATTTGCCATTTTCTTTGACCAGAGCATTTATTTTCTCTATGGTATCTTCAGATTCCGAGATTCGTTCTTCTATCTCTTGTATTCTATTGGTTATGCTTGATTCTGTAGTCTCAGTTCGTTTACCTAGGTTTTCCATATCCAGCCGGTTCTCCGTTTGTGTTTTCTTCATTGCCTCCATTTCAGTTTTCAATTCTTGCACTGTTTCCTTTACTTGTTTGATTGTTTTTTCTTGGTTTCTCAGGGTCTCATTCAGGGATTTACTTATTTCTTCAAACATTTTGTTATATTTCTCATCAATTTCTATACTCATTTCTTCAAACTTTTTGTTATATTTCTCATCCAATTCTTTAAGGGAGTTATTCATAACCTGTTTAAGGGACTCTATTGCTTTCATAATGGCACTTTTTTCCACTTCTTCTGGGTTAAGGTGTTCAAGTCCTTCTGTTGTAGGATCCTTGGGATCTGGTGTTTTCATGTTGTTTTGCAGATTGTTGGAGGAGGTCTTGCCTTGGCGTCTGCCCATCTCTTACTTCAAATGTTCTCTATTGGAACTTCTGTTACCGGGTCAGGTTCCCTTCTTGGGCAGGGACTTCACTGACAGAATGCCCACCTTTCCTCAGGCAGGCTATTGAAGCACAGGCACTCCCTCTTTCCTGGATGCACTTACAATGCAGGCTCAGCTTGCAAGGCAGCTGAGCTGGGGAAAATTTTATGGCCCCAGGGGGAAGGGAGAAATATAGGAATTCGTACCTGGATGGGAGCTGGGATGGCAGGCGGGAGGGGGTAGCCAGCACTGCAGGGCGACTTGGGCGACTATAGGGTCGGGGAACGCCAAAGCTCTTCCTCACCAGGACCCTGTCAAGGCCGGAAGCAAACTCACCCCTCCGATGGCCCTCTGCTAGAAGTCAGGGCCCCTGCTGGTCAGGAATGTGGCTGAGCTGGCACCTGGTCCACCTGTCCTCAGGGAGGCCTTTAAGACCCAGGAACTGCCTCGAGCCGGGCTGCGCCTACAGCCCAGTCCCAGCTTGCAAGGCAGCTGAGCTGGGGAAATTTTATGGCCCCAGGGGGAAGGGAGAAATATAGGAATTCGTACCTGGATGGGAGCTGGGATGGCAGGCGGGAGGGGGTAGCCAGCACTGCAGGGCGACCTGGGCGTCTATGGGGTCGGGGAACACCCAAGCTCCTCCTCACCGGGACCCTGCCACGGCCCGAAGGAAACTCACCCCACCGATGGTCCTCTGCTAGAAGTCAGGGACTGAGAATATTTTAAGCACAATCAGTCATATGGTATTTAACATAAAGTTGTTGGTAGTTTTAGAATATGAAATGGGTTTTGAGCATACATATTTTGTTTTGACACCATAGAAAAGAGTTTTATTTACCTGATAGAACTTAGTAGGAACAACTCTCTTATGTGTGCAGGGGGTTTACCTATGTGCCTGCATCTAGACACTCTATGTAGAGACAACCTACAGAGGTATTACATGATGTCAAACTGTTCCTATGAAACCACATTCAGAACATTGGCTCTTGGATATGATATGACCATTGCAGTACTGCATATGTTGTTGTGGCTTTGAGGATCTCCACAGGACCTGAACACACACACACACACACACACACACACACACACACACACACACACAAAATGTATATGATTTCATGGCTGGCTAATTGGTATTGGATACTCAGTTAGGGAGCTCATCTGAGGTGAAGACTAATTTTCTTCCTCCCAGCATTCCTCAGTCCTCTGTAGTTCTTTGTCTAGGGCCAGGCCCTGTGAGGTTTCCTCCTTACATCTTGGTGCCTGTATTGGTGTTGTCCTTGTTCAGGTGTACCTGACAATTTCCATGAAGACTACATGGTGTCATATGACTAAGAATGTGTCACACTCATGACAATTAGGAATAAGTATGTCTAATTACATGCCATTTGAACATGAAACAGAAACACTGTAACCTGGGCTAAGGAAGACACCACAGGAGAACCATATGTAACCACCTGGGGAAATCTGTAGCCGTGGCTAGGGAGTGACAGGGCACCTTGGCACACCTTCTTATTACACAGCCAGCACTTGGGGCCTGAGACCTCCTCCAGTGTGCAGTCATGGTGTTACTGATTAGTGTAGTCTTGTTGTAGATGGGAGTGGGGTAGAATTGCATGGTCAATGCCTAACAGAGACACACTTCAGAGAACTCCTTGAAGGAAAACAGCTCAGGATTCCTGAATGGAAGGGAAATTTTCTACAGCTGTCCCCATTGCTCTGAGATACTGTGTTCTTGTTATCTGAGTGTCCTGTACACCTTGTGCTTAAATATCCTCAGCCCTGTGTTCTCCCTTCCTTCTTTCCAAATGTGAAGTCTCCCATCATATGGAGCTCGTAGCAGGAGCCAATGAAGAGAAGCCCACGCTTATGTAAGCTGAGTCTAGAGAAGTTGCAGCTGCAGCAGATGGAGAATAAGGAGAGGAAAATTTGCAGACAAGAGGAGATCCTCCGAACTGTCAATACCAAGAAAAGTCACATCTGAACGGTCTACCTAAATGCCATTCCCTTGGTAACACAGTCACATACCTTAGCCATCTCAGAAGGCACTTGAAACAGATATTGAGAAGTCAGCTCTTTATTGTAAACACAGGGCTGAGAGGACAAGGGTGTAATGGCAATATTGGTGGCAGCAAAATGTAAGATCTGTGACAGAACTGGCTATTGGTCCATGCCACTTATGGCCACTAAAGTTCCACACAGCAATGCGGGGGGGAGTATGGGAAACAGTTAGGAGGAGCCTAGTTACCATATCATTGTCTGTGCCCTGTAAACCCTGTAAGTAGTTTCTGTCAGAGTCCAGGGCCAGAATAAAATCCTGAGTATGGAGGGGCACAGATCATCTGTATTGGGAAAAGGCACTCTTTCTTCCTAGCACCTTGCCTGTCTTTCCTGTAGCCTTGCAGCCTCTATGGTAAGAGTGGGGTGAGGACAGTATGAAAGGTGACAAACAAGAACATGTGTGTCAGTGCAACCCTACAGCGGAAACTGGAAAGCGTCTGTAACCTACAGGGCTAGCTAACTAGGGCTTAGAGGTGTTGCTTCCTGAAAAGAGACCTTGTCACCCTGTTTAAATGACATTTCCTTGATAGCTTGGACATGTATCTTAACAATCTCAGAAGACAAACAAGACAAATACAGTGGGCCTTCACTTCTTTATTGCAAACAGAAGCACGGAGGAAATCAGCATGTATTAGCAGGGTTTTGGCAGCAGCCAAATCTCATGAGCATCTGGCACCTGGTGATGGTGGCACTCTAGGTCTCCCCCACAATCTTCAGAGAAAGAGGTTATGGGAAGCCAGAGGAGAAGTTCTGGGTGCTCACAACCTCTTATATCTTCTGTATTGTTCTCTCCTCTTCCAAAACCATCTCTACAGTGATTGGGGAAAAGGAAAAGGTTCAGTGTAGTAAACCATTAGGATCATAATTGAAGTACTTAAAGAAACAGCAGGAATCTGCAGAATTTTAATCTCTACTAATAAAGACTTTGTCCTTTCCTAGTTGTAGTAACCACTACTTGCCAGTTGGGTATAGGTCAGATGTCACACTTTGAATCCCATACCTGACACCATTATTAAGGAAGGCTAAGAACCTGTGACCAGATAGATCGTGTCCTAGGGGAGAACGTATGGCTATTAACACTGCTAAATCAGAATAATATTAAACTGACCCCTAATGACATATAGTTCTATCCATAGATTAGTGAATTTTTCAGCGCTCATTAGAAAAACTTCTATTTTCAGTAGATGGTGATCAACACAGAGAACTACAAGTGGCTAATAGGCAGAGAAAATAAGAGTTTGAAGAATTCTCATCTGCAAGTAGAACATATCTGCCCCATGTCTTCATGCAAGGCTCAGATATCATTTTGGAAGAAGGGCAGAAAAAGTGTAAGAGCCAGAGGCTGTGCATGACCACAAGGAAACTGTTGCCTTGGAACATTAGGGTGTGTGTGGGTGTGTGTGCATGTGTGTGTATATACATACATGCATACATACATACATACATACATACATACATGGGCAGTACAAATTGGTCGGAATGAGTTATAAAAAGTGGGTACACAAAATAGTTGGATGGAGGAAGAGTTGGGGGAGGACAAATATTATCAAAACATGTATGAAATTTTCAGAGACTAATAAAAAATTTTAAAAGCCCAGTAGGAGTAGGTAATTTGACTAGATATTTTCTTCATTTCCAAAAGATAAGTTTTCATTAGTCATATGAATTCAGCCTGTGAATTATTAGCAATTCCCCCTTTTAAGATAGAATTTATGATTAGTTTTTAAAATTAGTGTCATGGATCCCCTAGCTACACTTATTTGAATAATTCATATATCACAACCAGGTTATGACTACCCACAGAAATGCTTTTTAAAGAATACCAGCCTTGCTGGGGAGTGGCGCATGCCTTTAATCCCAGCACTCAGGAGGCAGAGGCAGGCAGAGCTCTGTGAGTTCGAGGCCAGCCTGGTCTACTGGTCTACAGAGTGAGTTCCAGGACAGGCTCCAAAGCTACACAGGGAAACCCCGCCTCGAAAAACAACAACAACAAAAAATCTACTGGCAATTTTGTTTTACTATCATCCACTAATAGCAGATATAAAAAACATACTATGTCCCTAATAAGCAATTTGAAAAACAATAATATGGACAGCAAAAACAAAACAAAAACAAAAACTCAAAAGAAATGCTCCTAATCCCCCAAAAGAGTATCAGTCTTACAGTGTATGTATATATCTTACATATTTATTTATCCTTCATACAACTATCTTATACATTATCTGTACATATTTTCTAGGCTAAAATGCATACATTCATAATTTAGCCACAAGATACATGTATGTGTAGTATATCTGTACTTAAGTAGTAAAAATAGTTTAGTACATTCTTTGTTCCTTAGGAATTTATGTGTCTTCTGGAAACGAGCCATTCCTGATTAGTAGGGCTTTCTTCTTTCATTTTCTACCTACCAGGACCACAAATCTCAAAAGACATTTTGAATCAGAAGTAAGTAGATCTCTACGAGTTTAAGGCCAGCCTGGTCTACAGAGCAAGTTCCAGGACAGCTAAGGCTACAAGAAAAACCCTGTCTCGAAAACAACAAATACATATATACACACACACATAGACACACATATAAACACATATATGTATAGTTTTTACTACATATAACATAATATTTAACATGTAATATATAACATATTAATATAATATATTACATTATCTAATTGATATATTAATATGTATTAATATGTTAATATACTTTATATGTTGTATGATATATTAAAAATTAGTCTATAATATATTTATATTTATATATTATACCACCAAACCATCATTCTAGATTACTCAAGATGTCTTTTGGGATTTGTGGTCCTGGTGGGTAGAAAATGGAAGAAGAAAGCCCTACTAAACAGGAATTCTCATTTCCAGAAGACACATAACTTACTAAGGTACAAAACTATTTTTACTACTTAAGTACATATTTACTACACATACATGTATCTTGTGGCTGAATTATGAATGTATGCATCTTAGCTTAGAAAATATGTATCGATAATGTATAAGATAGTTGTATGAATGTTATATAAATATGCAGGATATATACATGGGTATATATGTACACACTGTAAGACTGATACTCTTTTTTGGGGGTTAGAAACATTTCTTTTGAGGTTTTTGCTGTTCATATTAGTATTTTCTGAAATCGCTTATTAGGGACGTGGAGTGTAGAGGATTTGAGTTTAATTCCTAATACCCATTTGGGCTGCTCATACATATGTGTAACTCCAGCTTCATGAAATTTATGCCCTCTCCTGGCTCCCTTGGGCGCACACACACAAAATTTAGAGGTAAATATTTAAAAGTCAATATGAAACATGGCAAATTAAAAAAGCAACACAATTTGGCTCAGAGGACCAACAGGACCTGCAGATAAAGTAAGATCTAGAATGGCTTTCCTACTAAATGGCTGTTCTGTGCTTACTGACCTGCACCCTGGCTTCAGTCACACCCATGCTAGCTGCCAGTCGTTTCCTGAGGGTAAAAATGGAAGACATTCAGTATTGGAATTATGGATATGGGAAATTAAATATGAGAAGGATATTTTATATGTGTTTCTAAATGTTTGTCTCATTCCCTACCTTCTCTGCTATTCACTTTGAGAATTTGAGACATTTAGAACAAATTATTTTATTGCCATTAGTAGATATGCAAACCAAAGTACATCTATAGTAAGCAATTTGAAAACCATTAACACTGTCTAGTAAAATCCTCGAAAGAAGTGCTCCTAACACTAGATGTGGTCATACAGGAGACTTAAAACAACAACAGCAAAAATTAAACCCAACACAAAACAAGGCAAAAACTACAAAACCAATGTACATAGGAAAATCTTAGGTGACATATTTTGTCAGGATAGAAGGAAGCTCAAATAAAGATTAATGGAAACATCCCAGAATTTTTAATATTCAAACAATACACAAGGTACTCCAACCTAATGATCATCAGAAATACGAAATATCACATTTATTTCTTATATTTCTTTTCTTAATGTGTGCATGTGTCAATGGTGTATATGGGAGGCCAGAGGACAGCTTGCCGGAGTCCTCTTCTTCCATGTGTGTCTTCAGAATGGAATTCAGGATCTCAGGCTTGGTGGTGTCTTTACCTGCTGAGCCATCTTGCCAGTCCAGGTAAAGAAATATTAAAGTCACACCAGGCCCAAGATGAATGTTATAAAATCTCACAACACTAGCCACATAGTCCTGAATTCCAAGCATCATTGGTAACTGAGGTAGAAGACTCCCTGCAAGTACCTGGACAGCCTTGCTACAGAGTGAGGTCTTATATCAGAAAGTCAGAAGAGAAAGTCACCCCCATGTTCCCCCACCCCTGCTAGAAAAAAATAGCATGGTGGAATATACCTTCACTCTCAACACAATGGCCTAATGGAGATGGTGCTAGCCTGGAACTCAACATAGAACTGAGATAACTTTGAACTTCTGATCTACCTGCCTCCAAATCCCGAACAATGCGATTATAAATCTGAAATACCCCACTTAGCCTGGGTTGTTTTTATGTTCATTTTTAATATATATTACAAACCAAATATATGCAGCATACATACCACATATAATATTTAATGTATATCATATAATATCCAATGTATAGTATATAATATATAATACATTATATTTAATATATTATACATTATCCAATATATCACAAATGATATTCAACATATAACACATCAATATCATATAATATTTAATATACAATATATACTAACACAATATACTATAATATTATAAATTGTATGACAATATATAATATATATTTGGTCTTTAATATATAATAAACATGTAATATATAACACATAATACATAATATGTAATGATATACATATCAATATATTATATATCATATATTAATGCACTTAATATATACTATATCAACATATATCATACTATATTATAAACATTATATTTATATATTAGAAAATCAATATATTAATATATTTTAACACATTAATGTAACAATTACTACATCATGCTATATTATATCATTATATAAATTATATTATTATTTAAATTATATTATAATATATTGTATATTTATATATGTAGTATAATATAAAATATATTATAGGTTAATCTATAATATATTATATATTATGTTATCTAACACATTAATATGTCAAAGTATATTAACATATTAATACATATTAATATATCAATTAGATAATATATTAATATATGTTGTATTATATGTTATATGTAGTAAAAACTATACTTATGTGCGTGTGTATATATTTATTTGTTTTTTCGAGACATGGTTTCTTTGTGTAGGAGCCCTAACTGTCTTGGAACTAGTTCTGTAGACCAGGCTGGCCTTGAACTCACAGAGATTTACCTGCTTCTGCCTCCCGAGTGCTGGAATTAAAGGCATGCAGCACCACTTCCTGGCTCATTTTTTTAAAATTGGTTTTATTGGGCTATACATTTTTGTCTGCTCCCCTCTCTTCCTCCTTTCTCCGCTTCTCCCCTCTCCTGTGACCCCCATGCTCCCAAGTCACTCAGGAGATCTAAAGATAACCTTCCACTCTGTAGCTGAGGCTGGCCCTGCAATCACCCTCGCACTCACCACTGTAGCAAAATGACTCAGACGAATAGGTGCTTACCTGCATGCCTGAGTTCAACATGGGGACACACGTGATGGGAGAAGAGAAACAGTTGTTGAAAGTTGTCGTCTGTTCCCCATATGTGCAATTTTGCGGATATGCACATGCAAGCACAACACACACAGAGACATATACACACACATACACAGAGACACACACTGAGGAATTAAATAAGAGAAATTAAAGAATCACATTTTAAAATATAATAAAACAAGGACAAGAGTGGAACCTGGAGGTCCTATCAAACAACAGAGCAAGCCAGACAAGCTACTCACGCCTCCTCAGTGGTGAGGTACTGACTGCGCTGGAAGGCTCTCTCCAGCTCTTGGAGCTGAGCCACGGTGAACCTGTGCTGGTGAGAGGCTCGGAATTCAGGCACCAGCAGCCTCACGGGATTAACACACGACCACCGCTCGGCCAAGGACAGCACACCCTGGTTGTCTCCCATGGCCCCGCGATCTGGCTCCTGAGGCTGCGGCTCATTCTCCTGGCCATGGCCACCGGCAGCGCCCTCTTGGTTCCCTTCATCCACGAGGCCTGCGGCACCCACGAGGCCTGTGGCACCAGCAGCTGAGGGGCCTTCTCCTGCTCCTTCTGCTTCTGCTGCTGCGGCTGCGGCTGCGGCTCCGCGCCCAGCCTGGACCCATCCACTCGCTTCCTCATTTCTTCCCTCTCCAGCCTGCAAGACCCTCAGTGCCTCAGCCTCTGGAAGTGGGGAACAGAAAGGGCTCCTAGGTGACAGGGCCTCGGGTGGTGCGAAGTCCCCGTGAAGTCGCTACGGTTACAGGCGACGTCAGTGCACGGGGCCTGCCCAGCGGCCTCTGTGGGCGCTCCTCCCCTCACGGACATCACCAACCCACCGTTCCTAGCACGCACTGACCATCCCAGTTGTCGTCGTCGTCGTCGTCAAGTCCCACATAAAGCAGGTAATCGAAGTTTTGACGCTCCATGTCCGGAATGCCGGCGTCGAAGTGGCTTGCGGCTTGCGGTCGGTTGTGCCTCTAACGAGGCGGAGCTGGAGCTCCTTGCCGTTCCGGAAGCGAGGACTCTCAACCTCAAGGACTTGCTATGTCTCTACAGAATCTGAACTGGAGCCCTCTACCGCTCTGGGAGTAAGGCTCCTCAACCCGCAAGAGCTAGCTTCCGGTTTCCGGGTCCCCCCATAGTCTATATTAGCGTGCATCCAATTCTGGCCGTGTCGTCCTGGCTTCCGGTTGGCCTGCTGTTGCTATGGTCTGCGATCCTGAGGGGTGAAACTGAGTGCAGTTTGAAGCTTGAGTGAGCTGGATGTGTTTGTGGGGAACGGATGGCACCTGGACAACAGGGAGTAGAAGGAGCCTTCTACGTTGCACCTTTCACCCTGGTGACTATCTTCCTAGGGAACGGGTGGTGGTCTACCACAGGAACCGATTTACTGGGGGGTAAGAAAAGATCCACCAGAAGCTTTCGAGGCCTTGTGGAGATGTGAGGACAGTATCTCTTAGTCTTGACAATGGGTTCTTGCAACTTGGCAGAGAACGGTTATTAAATAATGTGTTTATCTGGGAGGCTCTTCTTTGGACTTCCACAGAAAGTGAACTTAGAGCCTGCTTGCTTCCATGTTCTGACTTTGCAGGAGCCTGGACAGGGTTGCAGGTCCTGGGGCTGTCCAGCAGGCAGATCGGTGGACTCATCTTCACCAGGGCTACTGAGGAGGAGCTTAGTAGTACTGTCCAGCCTTCATGAGTGCTGGCAAAAGCTGTGAGAATTGTCATACCTGTGCTGTGGTTCCTCACCTTTCTCTTGGATGCATTTCTGACGTCTTCTGTGAATGGTCAAAGTGTCAAGAGCAGGCCTTTATGCCTGGTTTCCACCCCAGAGTCAAGCAGCCCCTTCACTGGCCTGTGGTCAGACTGGTTCCAAGGCAGCCAGCTTTTACCAACGTGTCCTGGCCACTCTTAAAATGGAAGGGCCCCTAAGTACTAGTGTGTGTCCAGGAACAGACTTTTTGGGGCTGGGAATATTCTGGAGCCCTGGTGCTGAAATTCTTCCAGGATAAGACTTACCTCACAGTTCTGGTAACTATCTCATTGCTAAATCTGCACATGTATGCTTCCTGCCCTTTCTCTTTACTGTATAACCTGAGTCTCCTTTTGGTGAGGTCTCCAGGGCCTGAGAATTATTTTGTCTGTTTCTGACTGTGATTATAAGGACATTCATTTATGTGCTGGGGATGTAGCTCATTTTGCAGAGTCTTTATCTAACGTGTATAAAGCCCTCCATGGTTAATCTAGAGCACTGAAGAAAGCAAGCATGGTGGCCCAGTGCTTCAATGCCTGTTATCTGAGCCCTTGGGAGATTGAGGCATGGTGATCAGCTTCTCAAAATCATGTTTAGCTACTGACTGAGTTGGAACCCAGCCTGCAATACATAAGGCTATGTCTCAGAAAAGAGTCATTCTTTTCCTTTAATCAATTCTCATTTCTCTATTTTCCTGTCAAGCTGTGAGCAATGGACATGACTTATTTTTTTTTCTATTTTTACTATTTGAGATTTGCATCCATGCATATAATGGAATTTCATCAATCAACCCTTTATCTGCTTTCCCCAATTCTTCCCTTTTCCCTCACCACTTTTCTCTCCCAATTTCATGTCTTTATAAAACCAACTGAGTCTACTCATTGCTGTGTGTGTATATGGATGGAGGACTACTCATTGATGTGTGTGGATATGGATGGAGG